TTCTCTTTGTAGTGTTCGTACACCCCTTCCCCAATAGATATCTTTCATGTTTGAGGAATACACCATGTACGTGATATACATTGACAATGCACTACAAGTCTTTGCGCCTTAGAGAAATCAGTAATTGTTGGTAACTCATGTATCATACAGGTAGAATACATCTCTTAGCCAATAATGATATGGTAGTAGAATTTGCCTCACTATTTTCATGGTTCAAGATAATGCTTACTGCAGGAATTTCACACCTAAATTCATCAGCACTATATGAACAGAAAATGATAGCTCTAGGTCTAAACCACAATATTCTTGAAGAATTTTAGGTTAACTTATTTGTTATTCTTTATACAATCAAACGTGGGTTTATCTTCATTTTTTTTAACCAGCAAAATATGTGACAATGCAAATATGGACAGAAAACAAAGAGGAGAATAACTAAATAAAGCTTTAAACTCGGATATATATTTCAGATATTTGTCAGTATATCAACAACTTTATTTGTCACTCACAAGGAGTTGAAAATAAAATAAAAGCCTCTCATTATTATCTCTAGTTACATTCTGGAGGTCTTTTAGTTAAGAATAAACTAATATGTCATCATTGGCATCGACTAATGCATTGCCAAAGCATTTACTTAAACAACATTTTGGGTAAGACATAATTGAACCAACTAATAATATAAATATGTGATAAATGCTATCCTAACCCTCGATAATCTAAACAGGAGGAAACTTCAGCCAATAAACAAATGTTTCATGTGTCTCAATAACCTGAAATTAGTGAATAGTTTATTTCTACACTGTCCAGTGCCAACAACTCTTTGGAATATGTTCATTTGAATTACTTGCACCAATTAGATTGTATCCCTGAGTGTCAAAGAAGTAGTGAGAAATTGTAGTATTGGAGGAGTTGATAACCCCAACAAGAAGACCTGACACATTATTTCATAATGTATTTCGGAGGAAAGAAATTTTAGATGTTTTGATGGTCTTTCAACTCTAATTAACAGTTTCAAATCATTTTGCCTTCTTAACCTCTTCTATTGGAGCAATTTATTTCCCCGTAAATGATATATTACTGCCCCCTTCCCTTAGATTTCATTAGCTTGCTCAATATGACTTAGAAACCATTCCTTGGTTCACCAAGTAAAATTATCATTTATCAATTTTGATAGACTATAAATCCCAAAACAAATAGAACTTTGAAAATAAAATTTCTTCCATTTGAGGCAGCTTAAAATTCAGAAGGAACAAGGACACTTTTAAGCCTGAATATTTCTCTACCGATGTCGAGGCTGCTAGATTAATTATCTCTGAACATATGAAGGACATAAGTACAAAACTACTCGAAAACATGCAATTGATTTGAGCGAGCAATCTATTAGCTTAGAAGATGAAATAAAAGATCCTTCACCATAGGTATGAGAAGATTTTTCATTAGATTTTCTATTTTGAAAATCAAAATTTTCCCTCAAGGATCTATTTTCCTTCAAGTTTTTTCCCTCAAGAATCTATTTTCCTTCAAGTCCTACCTTAATTAGTCCGAAGACTTTCAAGACTGCTCCTATATTTATAAAAAACATGTTCCATACAGTAGCAAAGTTTGTTATCCAAATAACTAACACGATCAAAGATTTAAAGATATATCAAAATCAACAAATATAGAAGGAAAACTACTGCACAACAATAAACAAACAAAAACCTAAAAAATTATGAAAAAATCAAAATGGTAAGTGAATTTCAAAAGCTGTAGGCAGATAGAAAATCAATATTCTCAAATTTTAGAAATCAATATTCTGTACCCTCTAAAATTATGAAAAATAGAAACAAAATAGAAAAAGCTCAAATTAGAGTGCTTACCAATAAATAAATGAATTTTGAATGGCCATTCACATTCCCAAATCTCCTGACATATACAAA